CCATTTCTACTGCTCTAACAAGACTGTAGACTGGGTCATGATTAAAGAACAGAAATTTCTTCCCCAATGTTCTGTATGCCAGGAAGTCCAAGATTAAGGCACCAACAGATTCACTGTTTGGTGAGGGCTTCTCTTTGCTTCCAAGATAGTTCCTTGCTGCTGTGGTGGAAGAGGGGTTTAAAAACTCCATGTAAAAGTAACAATCAAACTAGAATCCTATATCCACTCAGGTAATCATTTAAGTGTGAAGGTCACACTTGAAAACCATAGGCAACAAATACCAAATTGGACAAATGGCACTTAATTTATCTAAAATATTCTACAAACAAAATAAATCAACAGTGTCAACAGACAACCTGCAGAGGGAAAATATTTGTAAACTATGCATCCTACAGGGAACTAATATGCAGCGTATACAAGGAACTCAAACTACTCAACGACAACAACAAAAATCAATTAAAAATATACAGAGGACATGAGTAGATGTGTTTCAGAAGAAGACATACAAATGGACAACAGTAAATGAAAACATGTGCAACATCACTAATCGTCAGAGTAATGTGAATGAAAACCACAATGAGATACCATCTTACCTCAGTCAGAATGACTGTGAATAAAAGGGTGAAAAATAACAGCTCTTGGCAAGGATATGGAGAAAGAACTCTTACACACCCTTGGTGGGAATGTAAATTAGTACAGCTTCTGTGGAAAACAGTATGATTTCTCAAAGAACTAAAGCTAGAACTACATTTCCATTGAGCAATCCTACTACTGGGTATCTCCTCAAAGGAAAACTAGTCAATGTATCAAATATATACCTTTATCTGTATGTTTACTGTGGCAACATTCACAGTAACAAAGATACTGAATCTACAATGTATCCATCAATGATTGGTTGGATTAAAATGTAATTATATATATACAATACCGTACTACTCAGTCAGAAAGAGAGAATAAAATCACACATATTGTGACAATATGCATGGAAATGGGAGTCATTTTCTTAAGCAAAACAGGCTAGATATAGAAAATCAAATATAATATGTTCTCACTGGTAAGTGGTTGCTAAGAACGTGTTTGCATGGATGTAGAGAATGAAATGATAGATAATGAATACTTGGGAGTATGGGAGGCCGTAGGATTGTGCTGTGAGGTATTAATAAATGCAGTGTTTGTTATTTGACTGATGAGTACCATAATGCCTTCACTTAAGCACTACGTCATCAGTGTAACAAAATCAAACTTGCATTTGTGCAAAAATATTTATTTTCATTAACAGAAAATCTAAGCATACTGCTTCCCTACCCCACCATAAAAAGAAGACAATGACCAGTGTGGCCATAGCAGAATGAATTAGGTGTAGAGCATCCCCCAATTACACGGAGAGTTAGGGGGCAATACATAGCCTTTAGCATAGGTAAAAATTAGCAGCTGGGTGCAGTGGCTCACATCTGTAATCCCAGCACTTTGGGAGTATGAGGCAGGTGGTTCACAAGGTCAGGAGTTTGAGACAAGGCTGGCCAACTTAGTGAAACCCCGACTACTAAAAATACAAAAAATTCACTGGGTGTGGTGGCACACACATGTAATTCCAACTATTCAGGAGGCTGAGGCTGTAGAATCTCTTGAACCTAGGAGGGGGAGGTTGCAGTGAGCTGAGAACTTGCCCCAGCAATCCAGCCTGGGAAACAGAGCAAGACTCTGTCTCAAAAAAAAATTTAAAAAGCATCCGATTCTTACAGAGTAAAAGTGGTAGCAATCAACTGGAAAACACAGAAAGGTAATATAATTTTTAAATGGCCAAGTTGGGTAATTGACTGTTTGGAAATAAATAGAACTCTTTGGTGTAAACTGCAGATGAGGCTTGCTGAGGTGGGCTGATAGAGATGAAAGTGATGAAACAGACTGCAGTAGGAAATTATTTTGAAGCTTGAACTTCACAATGATAACATAGCTTATTTGACTAGATGTAATGTGATGAAAGGAAAAGAGTCAAGAAAAAAATCCTGGTTTGCTTAATTAATTAGATGAATTCTTTATCAAGACAAAAAAAGAGTTGGAAGAGGAAGAACTTTACCTGTAGGAGGGAAGAGGCAGAGGTAGGAGAAACCCTGGGAGAGAGAGGGAGATTCCTGGAAAGATTGATAGAGTGGTCCCAAAAGAAGGGTAGGATCAATGGTGTTAAACTTCTGAGGGGAAGTAAGACATGCAGGACTAAGAAATGATTCCTGAAATGTGTGGAATGGAGGCCGTAGACGACCTTCACAGACTGGAACTAGAAAGAACAAAAGCATCTATAAGGTGTGCATAAGAAAACATTAGAAGTGAGGAGATGGGGAAATAATCACATAGATAAGTTTCAAGAACTTTTGCAATAAAACGGGAGACAAATATTATGGTAGGAAAGAAGCACTAAGAGTCTTAGGAAGACTTCTATAGAAATGGGTGACGTTTCAGCAGACTTTGGCAGATTGAAATAATAGATGTAAGAATCAGGAGACAAAGGGGTCACATGCAGAAGCAAAATCCTTGATGGGTCAATGTGGTTCTGAATCAGGAGGAATATCAAGAGGTGGGGGTAGGAAGGCTTTCCCTATGGTAATAGGAGAGAAGCCAGAGACCTGGGATTCAACTGAAGGTGGGTTGCTCAACTTAGTGGTGGTTATGGTGAGATCATTCTGTTCTGATTTTTCTGACTTCTTAGTGAATTATCTGAGGCTGTCAGTGGGCAAAGAGGCACTTTCTAATATTGAACCTTCCTTGCTTGAGAAGCAGACATGCCAGTCCCTGCAAGGTTTTTGGTATGTATGTTATCTTATTAGCCTCCATACTCTGAGGGAGTTGTTATGATTATTCTCATTTTAGATGAGGAAATTGAAGCCCTGAGAGTCTAAGTAGACTTTTAAGAGTCAAGAGACAGTAAGAAAAAGAGTTATGTCTTAATTAAAATCTGAGAGTGTCCAAATTCTTTGCTCCTTATAATCATGTTGATTCTTTAATGAAATCCATTCAGGTTTCACTAAAGAATGGTGAGGAACATGGAAAGGGAGAGAAGTGATCACGGATAAAATAGGGTAAATGTGATAGAGAGGGTTGTGGGGATAAGAAGCATAGAACCATATTCATTCCTTTGAAACCGAACTCAATTTCTTAGAAATTGTAAGAATTTCTTTCAACTTCTGTGACTTTTTTGCACTTGTTGTGTTTTTTGTCCTTAAGATTACCGGAATATCAGTAAACAATCAGAAAATAATTTTAAAATTTCAATTTGTGCTACACAGGTCAGGGAAGGGCCAGGCATGGTGGCTCACACCTATAATCCCAGCAGTTTTGGAGGCCAAGGCAAGTGGATCACCTGAGGTCAGGAGATGGAGACCAGCCTGGTGAACATGGTGAAACTCCATTTCTACCAAAAATACAAAAATTAGCCATGCATGATGGTGGGCACCTATAACCTCAGATACTTGGAAGGCTGAGGCAGGAGAATAGCTTGAACCCAGGAGATACAGTGGCAGTGGGCCGATATCATGCCACCGCACGATCACTCCAGTCTGAGTGAAAAAAATTCCATCTCATGGGGGAAAAAATAGAAGTCAGGGAAGTAGATAAACACTAAAACCTTTTTTCACGGCAGCTGGCTAAATTAGGATTAAGCAGGAGGGAAGCTTCCTGGAGCATCAAGGAGAAGGGTTCCTAGATGTTCTTAGAATGTCCTCTTGGTCCTCAGATCCCACATTCACAAACATTGAGAAACAGACACCACAATCAGAAATTGCAAGCTGATTATTTTATTGGTATATTGAAGTTAGAGCTATGACCACCTTCTTCCAATGTCACGGCATTTGAATCATTTGAATCACTGTCGTCTTCTTATTCATTTCCTGAAGCAAACAAACAAGGAGGTTCATAGACCAGACTTGACTTGGCAGGAAATGTCTAATTCCTCCCTGGAGTTACTGCAGTAGAGTACATGAGAGCCCATCCCCTCTTTCCCCATCCCTTCTACCTCCTGTGTTTCCTTCCTAAGTTTTTGTGTGTTCACTATTTTGATGCCCTTCCTTTGCACAAAGTGTGCTCCAAATTGTTCCTGATGTGATGAAAAGATAAGATCATTCTTGGCTTGTTATTACTTGCTGCTGAATTTGTTCAGGGATATATTTACACAATGGTAACTGGAATATATTCTATAATAGTGAGAAGCTGAAACCACCCTCAGTGTCCAGTGACAAGGATTGGTTAAAGAAATCACAGTGCAACCAAATAATGGAATAGTGTAAAATTGTCAAAGCAAGCAGATAACCACTGAAGAGATTTACTCATGTAGAAATGTCCAAAGAAATGTATTATTTAAATAACTAACATATGTACCTGCATATAAATTATGATCTTAGTTCTGGGGGAAAATTATTCTAATTGTCTACGTACAAAAAAATATTTCAAAGAGAAGATGCCATTAAGTTAACAGTGGTAGTTTTCTAAAGGAGAGCAGTCTGGTAGGATGAGTTATGCCTTTAAATTTAGTTTTATATTTTTCCATTCCATTAGATATTTGTTGCAAGCTTAATTACGTACTTACTGAAAAGTAAGAATTTAAAACCTGAGACACCATTTAGCTGCTGAAAGTTCAGGGACCACTTGGCAGGAATACTGGACTAGAGAGGTTAATGTAAGGCAGGACGGAGCAAACAGTGCTCAGGTGAAAACGTTAAATGGGAGGTCTGTGAGTTTGTGGACAGAAAACAGAGTGCCAGAGCGAACATGGTACTACTTCCTCATTGCCAATACAATTTAAGACAGATTATTTGGAACGTTGTTTCTCAACATCAGAATTCCTTCAACAGCTTGTTACAAATATAGGGCCTTGTTACCCATTTCCAGAATACCTGAACACAAATCTTTAGAAATGGGTTCTAGGACAATATAATGTCAATGGACTTTTAGTTGATTCTTTGTCACAGTAAATCTGGAGACCCGTAGCAATTAGAGCACTTGGTGAAGAATCAACTGGAATCATACCTGTCATTGAATCCTAGATTACTGGGGAGACTGTCCCTGGGGAGGTCCGGCGGGTCTGCCCCCTTGAGGAGCGGATGGTGGTCCCTGGGGCCTTCCAGCAGGAGGTGGCTGAGCCTGCTGAGCATTGCCTCCTTGTTGGGGTGGTCCTTGTGGCCTTCCTGGAGGTGGGGGACCTTGATGTCTGTTGCCTCCTTGTTGGGGTGGTCCTTGTGGCTTTCCTGGAGGTGGGGGACCTTGAGGTTTCCTGCCTCCTTGTTGGGGTGGTCCTTGTGGCCCTCCTGGAGGTGGGGGACCTTGGGGCCCGTTGCCTCCTTGCTGGGGTTGTCCTTGTTGATGTTCTGGAGGAGAAAGAGAGAAGAGAAAGACAGAGTAAAAGCCCACACAAGATTCACTGAATAGTTGCAGTAAATTTTGATCAGATAGGGTAACAAGCTGAGGGGGAAACGCACAAAAATGGGACCAAGACACTAATTTCTTTGCATTTTTGGTGAAGACATAGATCTCTGGAATAGAATGCTAGGGAAGAACAAAGCAGTTGGGGGTCTCTCAGTATAAAGAGGAGTCAGTATGAGGATGTTGCGCATTTGTCTGTCATCTCCCAGCAGGCACTCCTGGTCGGGAAATGAGAAAACCCACTCCTGTTGACATCTAAGCCAAGCATCTCTGCCATTCAATTTTGTGGCCTGCTCACGGTCCTCAGAATCAAGCTTGCATGAAGATTGCCTATTATTAGTGGCACTAACATTAATCAATTCCTGAAAGTGTTGACAAGAAGACACTGGAGAGCTGATCCATTTGTGAGCAAAAAAAAGACAGTTAAAACAGATTGAGAATAAATTGGGATTTACCAGATATTAGGGAGGGAGATTCTTCCTGGCCGACATCTAGAAGAGAAGCACAGGATGATGGGAAAAGTTACATCTCCAATCTTTCAAGACTCACAAGTTCTACAGGGAAAAGGGTCTTCTCACCACCCCATGAATCCCCTAAGTTAACTCGACAGCCACTGTCTGTGAAGCTGCTGAAAGGGGAGGAAGCTGTAAGATGAGGCACAGTTGTTACAACACAGAGCAACAACCATGAACTCAACATAGAAGAGCCCCTTTTTTCCCTCCCTGGCATCCTCAAGACTTAATGCGGATTTAGTTTACACATGCCAGGGACTTCAATGTGATAGTTTGGTATTCTTATGCCCTCCACCTCCTATAAATACATTGCTTATGTACACATGCTCTCTCAATTATCGTAAACAGAAGTAATCATTTCAACACAATCTTACCCATCCCACTTCCAGCACATTGAAATACAGCATGTAGGGGAGAGATAAATGACAATCATTGGCTCTGATATTTCTATATCTCTAGTTAGACAGAGACAAGTGTTCCATCCAGTTCTCTCTCTGCAGTATCTCTGTTGTGTGTTTATTTCCATCATCCATGCTGATCCACCACACAGCAAAGCCACCATCATCCCTCTGTACTTAGTGAGATCAGTATAGGATGCTCACAACTGGACTTCTCTGAATCTGCCTTGCATTCTCCACTGCATCCTTCACAGCACAGTCATATCTCTCGATAAATGCCAATCTTACCTTCTCATTCCCCCGGAACAAACTGTTTAATGGATTTCATTGTACGTTAAATAAATTAGAAAACTTTAGTGTGGAATGAAGGTGCAATTGGTCTCCTGATCCCAGGCCTGAAAATTGTGCAGCCCCATCTGTGTTTTCATTCTCTTCTCTTCCCCCTAATTACCATTATCACCTCCTAAGCCCCAATCAGGGTCACCGCATCTTCTCCCCCTTCTGTTTTACCTTCATTTAAATTCTGAGCTGAGCTCAGGGCCAGCAGGGCCACTGACAGCAGAATCAACAGCATCTTGCAGGAGGCTCTGGAGGTGCTCCCAACTCTGTGCTGGGAGGAACGGGGCAGCTCCCTTTATAAAGAGGATCAGAACAATGACACCTTTGAGCTCCACACTGGTGGGGCCTCACCACCTCAGAGACTGGGTTCTGCTTTTTTCACTGCAGGTCATGCGTATCCCTTATTTCTCTTTGACACTCTAGCCCAGAGGGGTGGGTTGGGTTGGATATGTTTCTAGTGTCTTATTTCTAAAAGGTACAATTAGGACTTGAACTATGGTTTTCAAGGAACTGTGTCCAAGCCGCCAGCACTGTGTCATAATTGAACTTTAGATAACATGAGAGTTTCAGTCTTTTACATAAGACTATTATCCGCTTTCCACTGTGCTATTTATTTCTGTTGATGTGTGTGTGAGCAGCGATGCTACAGCCAGCAGTGAAGATGGTCAATATCTCCGGATCTTTTATGGCCTATGTCCCTCTCTTGTGAGGTGATTGAGGGAAGACAAAAATTATCTAAATTTTTGATGAGATAGAGATGGCTTCTGCTATCTGTGAGATGTGTGAGGACAGCACACTCCTGAGCACACAAAGATGACAGAAAGCTGCCCCGCAGCCTGCTCAGGCTACAGCTATCGTTCAAGCTTCTGTGGATCTCACTCAGCTCAGGGAAGGCTTGGTGCTGTACAACACAGGAAGGCTAAAATTCTGTATTTTAAAGTATTTTAAAGTATTTTTAAGTGCTATTAATGCAAAATGGACACAGAAACCACCAGGAGCTTTCTAGACCTGAGAAAACTGAATGCAGAGATCTATAAGGGAGCCATGTGATGTTATGTCACTAAAACTTTTTTCATGCCCTTCCCTTTCTCTAGAATATTCTATAAAATTCATCCACTCCTGTGCCGTTAGCTAAGACCATTGGAAAAGCACAATATTAGGGTGGGAGTGACCTGATTTTCCTGGTGCCATGTCTCACAGCTTCCTTTGGCTAGGAAAGGGAATTCTATTTACAATAGCAAAGACTTGGAACCAACCCAAATGCTCATCAATGATAGACGACATTAAGAAAATGTGGCACATATACACTGTGGAATACTATGCAGCCATAAAAAAGGATGAGTTCATGTCACCTGTAGGGACACGGATGAAGCTGGAAAGCATCATTCTCAGCAAACTATCACAGGGACAAGGATACCGAACACTGTATATTCTCACCATAGGTGGGAATTGAACAATGAGAACACTTGAACACAGGAATGGGAATGCCACACACCGGGGCCTGTCACGGGATGCGGGGAGGGATAGCATTAGGAGATATACCTAATGTGAATGATGAGTTCATGGGTGCAGCACACCAACATGTCACATGTACACATATGTAACAAACCTGCACGTTGTGCACACGTACCCTAGAACTTAAAGTATAGTAATAAAAAAAAAAATTACAGGTCTGCCAACCTGCAGGACTCTTCACGTCCCCCTGTCACTCACCACCATCAAATGCCCTGGCTGATGACAACTTGACAATTCATAAACACAGGGGAGGGGAAGAATCGTAAAAGAATACATGTTCCACGAGTTAAATGGCACCACGAGGAGGCAATCTACGAATTCAGAATGTGAGATATTCTTAAAGGCAACTTACCGAGGGGGGGCGGAGCAAGATGGCTGAATAGGAACAGCTCCAGTCTCCAACTCCCAGCGCGAGCGACACAGAAGACCGGCGATTTCTGCATTTTCAACTGAGGTACTGGGTTCATCTCACTGGGGAGTGCCAGACGATCGGTGCTGGTCAGCTGCTGCAGCCCGACCAGCGAGAGCTGAAGCAGGGTGAGGCATTGCCTCACCTGGAAAGCGCAAGGGGGAAGGGAATCCCTTTTCCTAGCCAGGGGAACTGAGACACACAACACCTGGAAAATCGGGTAACTCCCACCCCAATACTGCGCTTTAAGCAGACAGGCACACCAGGAGATCATATCCCACACCTGGCCGGGAGTGGTTACGTATTGCTAGGGATGCTCCCTCTACCACCTTATCCAACATAGTGTTGGAAGTTCTGGTTAGGTAATCAGGCAAGAGAAAGAAATCAAGGGATTCAGTTAGGAAAAGAAGTAAAGTTGTCCTGTTTGCAGATGGCATGGATTGTTTATTTAGAAACCCCATTGTCTCAGCCTGTAAATCTCCTAAGCTGATAAGCAACTTCAGCAAAGTCTCAGGATACAAAATTACTGTGCAAAAATCACAAGCATTCTTATACACCAGTAACAGACAAACAGAGAGCCAAATCAGGAATGAACTTCCATTCACAATTGCTTCAAAGAGAATAAAAATACCTAGGAATCCAACTATTCAATGCCATTCCCATCAAGCTACCAATGAGCTTCTTCACAGAATTGGAAAAAACTGCTTTAAAGTTCATATGGAACCAAAAAGAGCCCGTGATCTCCAAGACAATCTAAGTCAAAAGAACAAAGCTGGAGGCATCACGCCACCTGACTTCAAACTATACTACAAGGCTACAGTAAACAAAACAGCATGGTACTCACCAAACAGAGATATAGACCAATGGAACAGAACAGAGTCCTCAGAAATAATACCACACATCTACTGCCATCTGATCTTTGACAAACCTGAGAGAAACAAGAAATGGGGAAAGGATTCCTATTTAACAATGGTGCTGGGATACTGGCTAGCCATAAGTAGAAAAGTTGAAACTGGATCCTTCTCATTCTTATACGAAAATTAATTCAAGATGGATTAGAGACTTAAATGTTAGACCTAATACCATAAAAATCCTAGAGGAAACCTAGGTAGTACCATTCAGGACATAGGCATGGTCAAAGACTTCATGTCTAAAACACCAAAAGCAACAGCAGCAAAAGCAAAAATTGACAAATGGGATCTCATCAAACTAAAGAGCTTCTGCACAGCAAAAGAAACTACCATCAGAGGAATAGGTAACTTCCTACAGAATGGAGAAAATTTTGCAATCTACTCATCTGACAAAGGGCTAATATCCAGAACCTACAAAGAACTCAAACAAATTTACAAGAAAAAACAAACAACCCCATCCAAAAGTGGGCAAAGGATATGAACAGAACAGACATTTCTCAAAAGAAGACATTCATACAGCCAACAGACACATGAAAAAATGCTCATCATCACTGGCCATCAGAGAAATGCAACCAAACCACAATGAGATACCATCTCACACCAGTTAGAATCGCGATCATTCAAAAGTCAGGAACAACAGGTGCTGGAGAGGATGTGGAGAAATAGGAAAATTTTTACACTGTTGGTGGGATTGTAAACTAGTTCAACCATTATGAAAACAGTATGGCGATTCCTCAAGCGACCTAGAACTAGATGTGTACCATATGACCCAGCTATCCCATTACTGGGTATATACCCAAAGGATTATAAATTATGCTGCTATAAAGACAC